GAAACCATATTGTAATTATTTCTTCGCCGTTCACATTTAGAATTTTCATTCATTATAATAGCTATACGTTCTACTCGTAATTTAAAAAGCCACCTCAAACAACTTTATCGTCAAGTTTAATATAAAATTGCTCAAAAGAGTTTTCAGAAGAAAAGCAAAAAAAAACAATAATTTTCCATTATTCCCATGTGTTCTTAATTGCAATATATTGCATTATTTAACACATTCCTAGTGGTTTGGCCTCTGTATTGAAACCCAATTGAATATAAAAACTGAGCATATTGTATTTCTAGTTTTAGAGTAGTAGGTGGATGGTTGGCATTATATGACGAATAAGTCTATTAATACAACAAAGAATAACAAATAATAAAAAGAAAACGAACCTTATAGAACTTTCAATTTGTGTGGCGCACATTTTTTTTAATTTCATTACTTTCCAACATCTGGTGTGCAGGTGTGTTTGATTTTATTAAAATAAAAATAGTGTGTTTTTATACCCTGCACTTCGTGAAGGGTATATTAACTTTGGTATGGAGTTTGTAACTACTTGAAGGAGTCATCTGCGGTATGGACATATATATATATTCTTGCTCAGCGTAAAATTCTGCGTCGATTTAGACATGTCCGTCCGTCCGTCCGTCCGTCCGTCCGTCCGTCCGTCCGTCCGTCCGTCCGTCCGATCGCACGATAACTCAAAAACGAATAATGCAATCGACACCAAACTTTCACAAGTTTTTTCTTTTGTGCCAAGGACGAACCCTATTGTTATTGGACTAAGTCGGACAACGGGTTCGGGTAGCTGCCATACAACTCCAAGAGTTTATTTTAAATATTTCAAAAACTAATAAAGCTTTAAATATAAAATTTAGTATACATGTGTCCAATTATATTCTACACATGCTCTAAAAATTATAATGGGATAGCTGCACCGGTTCGGGTGGCTGCCATACAACTCCAACAGCAAATTTTTTATATTCGGCAAAATAATAAAGTCAGATTCATGGAACTTGGCAGTCATGTGTCCAATTATAGGTCAAATATATTTCTGAAGTTTTGGAGGAATAGCTTGACAGGTTCGGGTACCTGCCATACAACTCCATAAGCTAATTTTAAATATTTGGAAAAATAATAAAGTCAGATTCATGAAACTTGGCAGTTGTGTGTCCGATTATAGATCAGATATATTTGTGAAGTTTTAGTGGAATTGCTTGACAGGTTCGGGTACTTGCCATACAACCCCAAAAGCTTATTTTAAATATTTGGAAAAATAATAAAGTCAAATTCATGAGACTTGGCAGTCGTATGTCCAATTATGGGTGAGACATATTTCTAAAGTTTTGGTGCGATTGCTTGACAGGTTAGAGTAGCTCCCATACAAGTCTAAAAGCTTATTCTTAATATTTGGAAAAATAATAAAGTCAGATTCATGAAACTTGGCAGTCATGTGTCCAATTATGGGTCAGACATATTTCTGAAGTTGTGGTGGAATTGCTTAACAGGTTCGAGTAGATCCCATACAAGTCTAAAAGCTTATTCTTAATATTTGGAAAAATAATAAAGTCAGATTCATGAAACTTGGCAGTTGGATGTCCGATTATAGATCAGATATATTTGTGAAGTTTTGATGGAATTGCTTGACAGGTTTAGGTACTTACCATACAACTCCAAAAGCTAATTTTAAATATTTTGAAAAATTATAAGGTCAGATTGATGAAACTTGGCAGTCGGATGTCCAATTATGGGTCAGACATGTCCGTGAAGTTTCTATAGAATGGTTTCACAGGTTAGAGTAATTGCTACACAATAACGAAAGGTGCAGGGTATAATTCAATCGGTTTATACCGACTGAAACGTTTTTACTTGTTTTTTTTGTTATTTTCTTATCAACGACTTTTTAGTATTTTTAATTTTTATTAAAAAAAACAATACAAGAAAGATTTGATATTTTTGTGAGTTTTTCCTAATATACATTTTTCTTAATATACATTTAATATTGCACATTAAAAATTTATTCATAAAGCATTCAGATTTTTTAAATAAAAATATATTTTTTTTTGAAAATTAAAAATCTAGATTTCACTTTGTTAGCAAATGCTAAAGAAAAATTAAATAGAACGCTGTTTTTTTGTTTTTAATAGTTGTTATAAATATTTGCTTTAATTTTTTTACCGCAATTGCCTTTTAATAGAACGTGAGAACCAGATCGAAAAATTACATCGCCAAAATAAATTTTGAAGTGTGTCTCTTGATCATATTACTTTAAGGGAAATTACGAAACTTTCACTCTTAAAATTGCTCATTTACATATATATTTTAAAGCTTCAGTCAGACGCTGATTTAAATTTTTTTTCGGTACAGAAAATTTTATTTATATTTATTTACCATAGTATCGATGTACGTGGTGTAGTGATATTTTTTATTTTAAAAGATCTCACATTAAAAATAACAATAAACACTGCTTTTATTAAAAATTATAATAACATTTTTTATAAAAACATTTAAAATATTTCACAAAATATTATTAATATTAGTTTTTAAAATTTGAAAAATAATATGTATATAAAGATAATGAAGACAATTCCAAACACGCTTTTTCATAACATATTTTATTTATACATTTTTGATTTTTCATTTCGTACACAGATTTCTTTGTGAACAAACCATAGCTGATAGATTTTTGCTGTAGATTTGTCATCAATGACTCTAGTATAAAAACATAAACGTGTATCGTTTTTAAAACATCACTTGACGCAATTTGAAATAGCCTTTCAGGTTTCCCATATATGCCTAGTTTTAATATACAAATAAAAATTTACTACGTACTTTCTACAAAACACATTGAATTTCTAAAGATATAATTTTATTTTGTGTGAATATATCTATAAACTGCAGCCTATATGTGTAAGTAAACTTCTATTAAAATCAAAAACATTATTGCTTCAGATAAATTGTTCGTGAAAACTGTACAAAATTTTGTGTAAGATAGGATGTCCATATTGAAATTATATAATAACCTTTAAGCGAGCTTCTAATGTACATAAACAAAATATAATAAACTTGAATTAAATAGAGAAAAATTAAGTCAACCACAGCTCTGATGTCCTCCGCCTGTCAGCCATCCTAAAAGTATGGAACTATAGATTCTATTATAGAACAAAGAAAAAACCATAAATACAACACCTTTTTACCAAAAAAAAAATTTAAAAATGCTTATTAGCAGTCTGTCCGTCCATCTGCCCGAGGACATGTTTACAAAATTTCTATACTCTTAGAAATCGCAAATAGAAATCTGAAATTTCGTATGTGAATAGATCTTTATCTGGAACTTATTTTCATAGAAGTTTCTCTATCTTCCAAAAATGCAATTTTTTGAAGATTTATTTTAACGAAACCACAATCCTTTTTTAAATTCCGAAACGCAAAGGAAACGACATGCTTCTACCACGACACAGTAATTGAGCATTAAAAAGACAAAATCACCATTAAAATTAACCGACACCCGTTCTTTTCCAAATTATTGATATCATTTCTCTTCTAGACCGCAGGTTGTAGGAGTCTGAAATTTTAGATGTTGATAAATAGTTTATTTCATTGAAAGAAAATTTTTTTCCAAGTCTACCCTCTCTCAAGCTTTCGCATCTCCAGAAATTGTAAAATTTGAAGGAAATCGTAAAATTTCCGAAAACTCGCCGTGCGAAATTTGGTGGTAACGCGCTTCTTCGTTATTAGGGAAGCGTAAATAAACTATTTTTAAAGAGATCTCGGTCTGTGTTTACACGCATGTATCTCAATTTCAGCTGTACCGATATTATTGGAAATTTATTTGTGAGCTTATTTCGTGTATGTCCCGAATTGATCATCTTTTGGGATATGTCAGGCCTAGGAAACTAAACCTTTTTTCGGGCCGATTTTACATTTTTGGACATGTAAAGCCAAATAATCAACCAATTTCATTGAAAAAATATATATTTCAATTCTGGGTGTTAAAATAATGACGCTACAAAATTTTTGGAAAAATCAAAGCTCGGAAACCGAGCTGGGGGTCGAATTTATATTATTTACCATATCTACGGAATTTCTGGAAATTTAATATTTGAGTTCTGTCTATTACTGCAATTTACTAGTAATTTTTTCAGGAAATTTGAATGAAAGAAGCGAAACTTTACTAAGAGCCAAATTTACATTTTTCGAGGAATGTTAACTGAAAGCTTAATAGAAATAGAAAAATGTTGCTTTGGTGTGATAATTCTTGTAAAGTTGTTAATAATTGTTGAAAGTTTAATACAATTTTAATTTAAATTTGGTTTTAATTTAAATTTGGTCTGCTCCCTCAATTTTTAAAGGATCAAGTAAAATATAAAAACTTCTACATTCACAATTGGGGATATATTCATAAGTTCAAGAACTAGTCCAGAAATCTAATCAGTATTTAAAGTAGTAGTATCTATGTAGTATCTAGAAGTTTTTACTTTGAATTTCTGTTTTGTTAATACGAGTACAGGTATAAGTACGAAGAAAAACTGCTAATCATTTTCATAATTTAATTTTTTATTCTACAAATTTTTAACATATATGTATGTAAATTTGTAGAATAAAAAATTAAAATAAATCCTAATACATTATTATGTGTATATTTGCAGGCGCACATTCTAACAAAATTTCAGTTTTTGACTTTTAATTGCCTTTCTCTAATTATCTTAAAAAAATAATTCCAACAACTTAGTGAAATTGAATAATTCGCTCTCGTACTAAGAATGCCAGTAACGAATCAAACATGAACAAATATGATGTGTTGTGCATTCTTTACATATACATGTAAATATTTGTAGATTATTGAATCAGCACACAAATACACAAACTAAACAACAAAGTTTGATCAATAAATATGGTAAAAAGAATAACAATATAATAAAATAAATTTTCAAATCCATTGCAGTTATTTCAATTCCCACGTTCTTAATTCAAACATTTTTTATTTTCATTTAAAAAGAAGTACAGTAGAAAAAATTCTTTTCATTGAAAGTTTTTGAAAAATAAAATTAAAGGAAAAACAAAATCATAAAAAAATCACATAATAAAAAATGGATGCCAGCGAAATTCCAGGTAAATAAAAATTGTTTTTCGATTAAAAAGAATATTTTCCTAAAACTTTTTGTTCCTGTTAAAGTTTCAATCAATAATGACTTAGAGAAGAGAATTGCTGATGCTTTTTTAATATTTGATCATCAGGGTAATAAAACAATTGACATTCGTGAGGTTGGAACTGTTATAAGATATTTGGGATGTGCTCCAACTGAACAGGAAATTAATGAAATAATTGCTGCAACCGAAATGGAAGATGCAAGTGGTCAAATTCATCTATCAAAATTTTTACCTTATATTGTTAGTCTATTAAATGAAAGAAAGTAAGTTAATGTCTTTTAAAATTTAAGATTATCACAATTATTTTTACGAGTATATATATATATATTATGTATATATATATATGTATATATATATATATATACAATAAGTAAACCACTAACTTTTTAAGTTTAAAGAAAAGAGTCCTACACGTCTCCGCTGAAATTATTATAAAAAAGCCAGAAATTGTATTTAATTTTATCTTGTTACTATTTCTTATGAATTTCTCTTAACCACATTATTAGACCCTACATTTTAGAGTTTACATAAATGTAAGTTATTTACGTTGATTTCCATCATAGAACATAAATTAATTAGAGCAGAAACATTGTAAACCGCTTGATTTGTTTAAATTACCAAATTTGCCTTACCGTTTGTAACGCTAAGAAATAATGCTCTGAGATATAGACTCAAGTGAATGTTTTTAATCAGCGTCGAATTCTGAGTTGATTTAGCTTTGCCTGTCCCTCTGTCCGTCCGTCCGTCCCAACGAAAACTTAAAAACTTATTGAGCTAAGTTCACCAAATTTTCACAAATGATTTATTGTAGTAAGCTCCCAGAACCCTATTTAAATTGGACATGATCAGGATACCGGTTTGGGTAGCTGCCATACAACTTCAAAATTTATTTCGCTATATCTGAAAAACTTTAAAAGCTATTGTATTGAAATTTCACACAAACGAATATATTAGTAGGGCCAATGTGTCTAATAAAAGTTGTTGAAATTATTTGGCTCCTTCTGTTAGCTGCCATACAACTTCAAAAGTTATTTGGTTATATCTTAGAAACTATAAAAGCTATTTCACAGAGGCCAATACATAAGTAGGGCCAATGTGTTTGATAAAAATCCTTAAATTTGCTTGACTCTTTTTGGTATAGCTGCCATACAACTTCAATAGTAGTTTGGCACACACAGTATTTTGAAAAAAACAGTACTGAATTTTGCATAAATTAATATGGTAACAAGGCAATTTAAAGTCATAGTTTGTCCCATAATCAGTTATGGCATATTTATTCGCACATAGGATAACAAATTGACAAGGTCAACTCTATTTTTTCCTCCTTTTCCTTAATTTGCTTTTGCATCGTGAGAAAATGCCGCTTTTAAGTGTCTTCAATTTTAATACTAGCCCGATGAAGTTTTAATAAAAAAAATCAAGTAATAATTAAATTTTTCCCTAAACATTTCTAACAAGAGTGCTGAAGTGGTGTCAAGAAAATCGAAAAATTTTAAAGTAGTTTTTGAAAACATTAGAGCTTTATAAGTGATATCGTATTCCGTGAAGAGTCATTTGATGTATGGGTTGATCGCATGAATGCTTCTAAATATTTTTAATAATAACTTGGGGTTTTCAGTCGTGGGACGAGGGAAGTCATTATATACATGATCGTACAAAACAATTCTTTTTCTAAATAACAAAAATCTTATCACAAATTTGACACACAACACTGATATCACTTCTAGTTCTCTTTCAAACTTAAATAATTTTTTATATTTGGCCTCATAAAATATTACTTTGCAATACAAAAAGTTAATTTTCTTTTTCTTTTTTTGCTACGATTTTAAGAAGTGCTTTTAATAACGGTTATAAAAATGGTTAAAAACAAATATGTATAATTTTTCCATGTTCTTAATAAAGTAATGGCAAACAAAAAAAAAACTTTATTTTGTTATAAAAATTATGCTACACCGAACTCTCTTTATGTTATTATCGTTAAACATTAGAATGGAACCAGCTGCACCTGAAAAACTTCTTGAAGCTTTTAAACTTTTAGATATTGATGGAAAAGGTGTTTTAACAAAAGAATACGTTACGAAAATAATGAGAGATGAAGGTGAACCATTTACACAAGTAAGTAAATAAAATATTGAAAGAGTATTAATTTATATATAATTATATACATGGTAAACAAATTAAATATATATAGAGGGTTCAAAACAGTATTGCATAAATAATTTTTATGTTATATTCAGTTGTGTCTTTAATCTTTATAAAAACTTAAGTTAAAATTTTCAAGATCAAAAATACTAAAGATCGAATATAGCTCAACTGAAATAATATTAAATGTTAATTTAATTGTAGGTACATAAATATATAAAGCGCTCTTTTGTTATTTCGTAATTTCAAATAAATAATATTAAAAATAACATAAATAATTAAGTATAACCATTACAAAATTTACATTATTGAAGTTGCCTAGTAACTTTCACCATAAAGTTCTTAAAATATAATTGTCTGATATTATATAGTTTCTACATTAAAACAGAACATGAAAACTCAAAATTTTTATTATACAACAGAAAGCAAAATAATTTTTTTTATTCAAAATATTTAGGAAGAATTGGATGAAATGTTACAAGTCGCAGTTGATGTTCATTCTGGGCTTATAAATTATGAACACTATTTAAATCACTTAATGGTAAGTTTGATTGAAAATCACATAAAAAATATTATAATCGTTGAATAGATTTATAAAGTTTACTTATATAGAGTGTTTCGCATAAGATGGCAAGCAATTTCAGGGATAATGTTTTTAATCAATTTCCAACAAAAAAATGTATGGGTGAGGAGGTGAAGACCGTTACTTGTTTCCCAGTTTAAGAAAACATCTTAATTTGTGTTTAGAAAACATGCGAAAAATGCAAATTTAATTTTCGTACAAATTTCTTATTGTACATACTAAGTTAAAAAATGGTATATGTTATGTTTGCATGAAATGTATGCAATTTTTTGCATGTTTTTAAACACAACAAATTCTTAATTTTACAAGTTTTATCTCGAAAAGTATGACTCAAATCAAATTGATTGTAACCTGAAAAATAACAATCACCTGCAAAACAAGACCCCAATCGTTACCTTATGTCGCAAGATCTTGAAATTATAAGCATTTATTTATATGCATGGAAAGTCTGGTACCTTTTTTTCAACAAACTGTAGGTTGAAAAAAAATATTGAAGCACCCCCCCTCCCCCCAGTACAATATTTTGCTGGAAATTGATCAAAAAATTATCACTGAAATTATTTGCCACCTTACGCGACACACCCTGTACATGTACATATGAATGTACATATGCATGTGTATATATAGTGAGCAAGTAATTATCTTCGTTTTGCTCAGCTCAATCATTATGAATGTCATGTACATATATAAAATTCTATGATAAAATTAAGTTAATTAGTTCACACTAGAAATTAAATACAATTCAATAATATAAATATTCGATATAATGTACGACCACATCAAATATTAGACTTTTGTATAAAAATCTCTAAAAATCTCAGCTACCCAAACCAGTACCCCGATCATGTCCAATTTAAATAAGGTTCTGGCACCTACTACAATAAATCATTTGTGAAAATTTGGTGAAGTTAGCTCAATTAGTTTTTGAGTTATCGCTGGGACGAACGGACGGACAGACAAAGTAAAATCAACTCAGAATTCGACGCTGATCAAAAACATACGTTCGTACGGGAATAATGATTGTACAGCGTTTTTTTCCAAATACTTGGTAAAAATTACCAAGTTCCATAGTTCCATAGTGTAACCCATGAACAAGCCTTCGTAGAGTCTCTGTACCACAAGTTTAATCCTACAATTTAGAGAAACTAAGCATATGTATAAGTAAAAGACCCACATATACAGTGTGATTCACCAATAAGTTAGGAGCCGCATACCACCGGGTACAGGGTCGAAAATGAGTAAAATGTTTGTTGGAAACAAAGTGTTAAATCGGAAGCGTTTCCGAGCTACAGGGATTTTAAGAAAATTTGGCGAAATTTTAACATACTTAAGTGTTTTTGCTTAAAACTTCCTTTCCAAAAAAATAGAAGTTTCAAACAAATTAATTTTAAGAGACCTTGAGGAGGATTTACATATTTTTTTCGGAAATACAAACATAAAAAGGTGAGGAAAATTTCAATTTTCCTCATCTTTATTTTTTTACTTTTTTATCCAGCTGCTTAAACTTTAATTTAAGTCGTTAGGCGTTAAAATATCTTTTGCGAAAAAAACCATTTGTATTTCAAGATTTTAAGGACCCTTATAAAATATGTATACTTAAAAATTTGACTATTTTTTATTTTTATTGATATTAAGTCCTGTAATTATTAACTATTATTATTTTTTAGCACAAATACCCTGAGTCCTTCATATTTTTGAGAACCTTATTTTGCTAAAAAACTAAATTTTAAGAATTTTATTAAAATCTAATGTATTTTAGAGAAAAAAATCCTTTTGTTAATTTTTTTTAAGTTTTTGCCACAAATTAATCATTTTCGGGATTCTGAGAGGCAAATAAGTTACCGAAGATGGCCGAACTACTGAAAGGACCAATTGCTTGTATCTCACTAACCTTTTCTAGGGGTGAGTGAGATGACTCTGCTAATCTCTTGGCCACCAAGTTCCGTATATTCTATTCCATCCAGATTAACGCGTTTGGAATTCCTGAAGAGCTTAAGCAATTGAGCATTTGTAGTAAAAAGTTAGAAAAAAGAACAACTTTTGGGATTTTCCTTTGCAATTTATGTATTTGAATAAATATATTAAGATTAATTTTTTTTCTCAAAATTTTAACTGCTTTTAAGAATGATTTTTTTATTCAAAAATAAAATTAGTTGAGATTTATGCTACTTAAATCCATAAAAATTAAAATAATTCATAATTTTTTGAGTTTACACATTTTATTAAGACCTTTGGACATAGGAATGGTTTTGCTATAACTCCATTATCATAAAAGATATTTTAAGGTAATGGCTTAAATTAAAGCTTAAGCAGCTGGCCAAAATTCTGTAAAGAAAATTTTGGAAATTTCAAAAAAAAATCCACGAGAAATTATCGGGACAAAAAAATAAAAAATAAAAGATGAGGAAAATTAGACCTTTCCTAAAGTTCGAATGCTTGTATTTCCGAAAAAAAACATGTAAGACCAAATAACCTGCTGTTATTTATTTAAACCAATTTTAAATCTCTTTCAAAAACTACTTGTGTGAAACTTCTATCTTTTTTGAAAAGGAAGTTATAGGCAAAAACACTTAAGTATGTGAAAATTTCACTAAATTTCTTAAAATCCCGGTAGCTCGAAAACGGTTTCGATTTAACACTATGTTCCGAGCAAAAATTTTAACCAGGCTAATTGAAATTATGAGAACACAAACATAACACAAAAATTAAAAAGTTCTGCAACAAATCTGTGTACAATTTTTAGAATATGATATACATACCATTTTTTTTTCGTTTTCTTTTTCTATATGCTATTCTTCCGAAGGTGAAGAATATAAGCGAAAATATACGGTGGTTGTGCCATCGGATTTGTTTTGTTTAATATAATATATATCACAGCTGACAGAAATACAGGCCTGGGCCGTAGGAGACAGTTCACAGCTGACGAGTTTACACGTATTCTTATGGAAGCTTTAGAGGGCCTTTTTTAAAATCTAAATTTCCCACAAAATGAACTTTTTTTAAATTTTTGATTAGAAAAATTAAAATTCATCCTTTTTCTACTTTACTAATGGTTACATTTTTAAAATGTAGTGTTAATAACATTAAAAAATTAATTTCAAAAAAACCTTCCGAGCTCTGATCTTTTCTTTAAGATTAAAATTTTTTCTATACTGTACAATTTTTTATAATTTCTATATTTCTATACTGTATAATTTCGCTATATTGTATAAATTTTTTCTCGAAGTAACGTAAATAGGTTGCATTTTGTGCCTTTTTTCAAATTGAGAAAATGTACATTTGATATTAACAACTTTGCTAATTATTTATGCTTATAATTACTTCAGAAATGTCATTTCACCAAAAACGCATATACAATTTTAACAAATACATTCACAAATAAGCAGAGTTGCTTTGATTTAAGCCTTGATTTTTTGTACTGTCAAGTGTAATATAAAATAGGTATAACAAATAACAATTATATATAACATACAAATATTTGTGGAACCAACGAACTAATGTATGAAATGTTTCTTTTTTAAAAATCAATAGGCTTCCATTACATAAATAGTGAACTAATTTATATAAAATAGTGCATAATCATATGTATGTAATGTATATATATATACATATTTGTAAATGTAAACTAAAATCAGAATACATAAAATTAGAATACATTTTACTTTACATAAAATTTTGTATATAAATGCTTTAAAATTTCTTATTTTCAGGTTTACCTATGAATTTTGCGAACTCCTACACTCTAAATTTAAGCAATCAAACATACATATAAAAACTTGCATGAATTAGCAGTATACATTAATAATTCAATCAATGTGTAAAGAAAATATGAATTTTTTTTAAACATACTACGGTTACCAAAAAAAACGAATTCCACAATTTGCATTCTTAACGTTAAAAATTTGAATTGGAAAAATTTCTTTATTAAATTATGTTAAACTTAAATACTTATGTGAAGATTAAGTGAACTTTAGGTGTGGCTCAGATAAGAAGAGTTCTTAAAATTAAAGATTTTGATTAGAATATTTCATTTTTTTAAGATAAATTTTTTAGTAAGATTTCTTGATTATAGCGTGGCTAGAGTTGCGATGTATAAAAATATTCATTGTTTTATACTGTATATTATACACCACTTACTATAGTTGTCATAGTCGTCACATGTAAATTTTATCTTAACTGCGAGGAAAAGTTTATAAGCAAAATAAAAATAAAACGAAAAAGAATAAATTTTTAAAATTAAAATTTTTGGACTAGAACATGGATGAATTTGAAAAATTCTTTAAAAAAATTTGCATTCTATATACAATTTATATATAAAATATGTATATCACACATAGAACTATAATCGAATAAGGAAATGTAAATATTATTAAACATACATCACATGATTCATCTCCCACAAAAAAATTTGTCAATCAACACAGCAATTACAAAGATATTATCGATCTCGAAGAATGCATATCATCAGTATAAATTCATTTTAATATTGGGTCAAAAGCAAATGGGCTCTGAATTTTCCTCATCCTCGATTTTTGGCCATTTCTGTACAAATTTATGAGTTTAGCACAACATGAACGAATAAATAAAATTGCAATTAAGTCATAAAATTGTAAGTAAATATAACTCTAGGTATATGAATATAAGAAACCACCTATGGAATTGATATTCAAAACAAAATTGTAAAAAGAATAAAAATAGAATGCACATTATATAGAATTTATTAATGCAGATTTTAAATTAAACAAATTATTGTATAATGATTTTTGTTATATGAGTATGTAACAAAATCAATAATTCATTTTGTAAAACATAAACTTTTATAAAAGATAAATTCCTTGATTTTAATATTTTTATTATTTAATTGCATTAGATGAATGAAGAAAATGGGATATATGCATACAAGGATAAGATGTCAAGAAGAATATAAAATTTGAATTTAATAAAATTAAAACTATATTAGTAAAAATTCTTTCAACAAAGAAGTTTTATTTATTACAAAAATTATGAAAAACCTATATAATTTGATACAAACCACGTGTGTTTTCATCGTGTAAATTCTTTATCTTCGGAAGAATCTTCTTTTTAATATTAGCCCAAGTAAGAACTTCAACGCTTGCAGAAGAAATAACACACTGAAAGAAAACGAAGATCAATATGCAGAAAAAGACAAAAAGAAAGCGAAAAATATATTATGTATTATCAATTCTGTACATATTATATCGTATTCATATCGTGTAAGATCATACCCGCATGCCGCCCAAGTAAGTAAAATTTGCGGCCCAATCAACAATTTTAAATGGTTAAGGTTTGCGGCCCTAACTATATTTCTTTTCCACTGGTTTTTTCCTTCTTTCCATCGCATCGAATATTTCAAATTCTTCGACCATCTCATTTCGTAATATAATTTTTATTATTGCTTTTTCTCTTTGTTTCAAATGGAACAGATTGAATTAAAAATAAAATTTCAATTAAAGTAGTTTCAAGGGTAGTTATTTTATAAGTATCAAACAATGTGTCAAAAAGAAAAATCGGTGAAGAAAATAGAAAATTTAATAAACAGTGGGAAATTGAATACTTTTGTTGTGAAATCAATGAAAAAATTATGTGTGTACCTCGTAATTGGTAATTCCCTAATTGGCTCGACAAAAGTATATAATATAAAAAGGCATTATGAAAAACATGAGGAAACATTTCGTGAATATGAAGGAAAAATTAGAGAAGATAAGTTCAAAAGTTTGAGTTTATCATTACGCAATCAGCAACAGTTTTTCAATAAATTTAATGACCAGAAAGAAAAATTTGTTAAAGCAAGTTATATGTATATTATATCTGAAATGATTGCAAAAAAGTCAAAGGCGTCTGCATAAGAAATCATCTCATTCAATTTTAAAATCTTTTCATTGTATAATTCACCAAGAAGTCCTATGTACAAATATTATTAAAATGGACCATGTCCTTAAAAATGTGGCACATATAGTTAATTTCATCCGATCTCGAGCACTGAATACTCGCCTTTTTTCAAGTCTTTTGGCTGAAATAGGTTATCATTATCAAACATTACCCTATTACACGAAAGTAAGATGATTGTCATGCACAAAAGTTTTAAAAAGATTCGTCGAATTAAAGGAGGAAATAGTTTTATTTTTAGAAATGAAAATGAAAGATGTTTCAATAATTAAAACAGAGGCGTGGCACATGGATCTATTGTTTCTTACTGATATTACGGAACATCTTGCTGAATTAAATTTAAAGCTGCAAGGAAAAAACCAAATAATTACTGATATGTATGATCATATCCGTTGTTTTCAATCGAAACTAATTTTACTTGAAACACAGTTGACAGAAAATATCACTACACATTTTGCAGATTTAAAAAAAACCCAAGATAAACATCAGAATATTGATATAAAAAAATATGCCAAATATATATCAGGATTGAAAACTGAGTTTCAAGACAGATTTTTAGATTTTAAATCATCTGCTGAAGACTTCGAGTAATTTATGGCACCGTTTTCATATAATGTTGCCAAAGCTGATAAACAGCTATTCAATAATGAATAATGACAGAAATGAAAAAAGAACCAGTTTAACCGATGAACATTTGATTTCAATATTAAAAGTTTCAACTGCCCAAAACATCAAACCAAATATTGATAATTTAGTTTCCAGAAAAAGAATTCAAACATCTTCATCCAAAATTAATTACATAAAATATATTTCATTAATAAAAATAAATAAAGATATAAAGAAAGATACTTATATTTTATAAATAAACATGAATTAAATTCTACATAAGTCTTTTTATTACTTTTTTATTGATATTTTATTACTTTATTTTTTTAACTTTTTGCGGGCCATAGTTCTTACCTAACTTAAAAATTGGCCCCAACATCCATTTGAGTTTGACAGGCCTGCATAAGATGGATACCGATTTTCTGCACAACTTATTCATTTTTTTCGTTTTATTTTCGTACTCTCATGAGATGAATAAGCTTCAGCTTAATGCGCAGCGTAGACAATAGCATGTGGATGTGATATAATTATTCTTCATATTAGTATTGACTGTTGTAATCACGGCTAATTTTTGTAATGTGAATGTTAAAATGTATTGTTACACTTTATGTAGTAGATATTTGCAGACTAAATTAAATTAACAGGAAAATTAGTACATCAATCATGAAATTAACACATAAAGAAAAGCGTAGAGTGAAACTCTGTTACTTCCTTTCATTGTTGTTTTTATTTATGAACTTTAACTGGCAAAATGGTTGTGCTCTAATTACATTCGCTTATATTCATATTGTGTTAGAATAGAAAAAAAATTATCTAAGTGATGTATTTATGTGAAATGTGTATAGTAAATAGTATTCAATTCGTTTGCCGAATAGGAGAACATAAAATTTTTTAACATTCTTATACACATTATGTGAATAAATAAGTATTACTTCCTATATACCGTTAAATGTGTATTCAAACATATTAGGCAATAACTTATTTATCTGTTACAATTATCATGTCCCGAGAATTTTTGCGAAAGACGATATTATAACATGTTGGTAAAATTATACGTTGAAAACAGAACAAGAGCAATTTTCCGCACAGAAATTTCAAAATTTACATATAATATGCATAACAAACATATAAATGAGACTGTCAAGAATGAAGCGAAATTACTGGCATGAAGTTTACTGCTGGCGTTGACATAGCCTTAAATACTGTTTTACCCCCGCCCGTTTTTTTTGACGTCATGTGGTTCCATGAGTGTGCAGTTTTATATGAAAAATATTATGGTTCGTTGTAGTTATGGGCTAACAACGGATATTATATATATATAGCTACTTCTCAGGTTTAAAAAAGTACGGGTACTTCTAGAAAGGCTAGAGACATAGGACAAAAGGCATTAGATAGGGTTTTGTCTCTAGGAACCCAGAAAAATCTGACATTGCAACTTTTTAGCTCCGAAATAGCACAATTTTCAGATTTTCTGAAAAAATTTTTGTATAACAAAAGCACCTTTTTCTTTTATACTTTATATTACTAGAAGCACAAACCAAGAAATAAATACGATACCTTTTATTATAAGAAACACAAACCGAGAACGAGAAATAAATAATATTCGAAAATATAACGTAATGATTTCACATATTTGTAGTTCGAAAAATCGAAATAAATTTAAATAAATGTCAGCTTTTGTCAAGAATATCAGATGTCTTGTGGCCACTGAATATTAATGCTTCATTTGTTATTGTTTTGAATATTATTTAAAAAAATGTACATACACTATTTATGTACGTATGAAAATTTTATTTTTATTGTACGAGCGAAAAACTGTTAAATGCTAAATTCTTATACATTCATATGCACATACATATATTTGAATAAAATTATTATTTTGTCTTTGCCTAATCCTTCTCTTTATTTAAAAAATTTATTTCTGTATGTTTACCCACATGATTTAATAATTATGTGTTTAAAATTTATTTCTATATGCCAAACCACAGTTTTGAATATTATTCAATTCATATTGAAATCTTAAAAAAAAAATTAGTTAGGAAGCTTTAAAAAAAATGTACATACATATTTATGTACTTTAAAATTTTTCCGAATTTTCCCAAACTATAATAACAATATTTTTTTGCAAATTTTCTTCAAATTTTTATTATAATATTTATCTGTTTTATATTAAAAAACATAAAACAAAAAATTTAAACAAAATAAAAAAAAAATTTAAAATAATCCAAAAAACCAAAAATATAACAATATCCAGGCAAGCATTGATCCAATAACGTTCTGGTTATCAGACTACCACGCTACCCACCAGGCGACGCAGTACTCAGAATTTGCCTTTATAATTCTACATTTTATTCATATTTCGTATAACTCCTCAAAAACCATCCTATTTTAAATTATATATATATAGCTACTTCTCAGGTGTCAAAAAGTACGGGTACTTCTAGAAGAGCTAGAGACATGGGACAAAAGGTATTAGATAGGGTTTTGCCTCTAAAGTCCCAGCAAGGATTCCACCTATCCTCCCCTTCACCCCCTGCCAAGATGCTTTGTGACTGCTTTTTACAAAATGATACTATATCCTGTAGGGGTAAATTTTTTATAAATTTTGGTGGTATAAATATTGTATGTAAATTCATATTTGGAAGTGTGAGTTAATAACAAAAAGTGAACACTTTCTTAAGAAATTTGTAAAGATTTAATAAAATCTACATTGTTTTATAATAAGCATTTACGTACGCATTTAGTTATGTATTCTTTTCGTGATCTGCTGCAAAATGTATTAGTAAGCAAAACATATTAGTGTAAATTAAATTTTTTATTAATAGTTATTCTATTGCATTAAACTTTTTTCAAATAGGGTGTTTCGAAAAAAATATTTAGAACGGAAATTCGCTGATATTGATTTGTAAGGATAAAGCTTTTTTTATTTCATTTTAAAAAATAAAATTATCAATAAAAAAAAAGTTCACCTGGCAAATCGCATTTTCCAGGGTTAGAACCTGGGACTTTTTGCAAAGAAACGGTGTACTATACGCATTACCATAATAATATTAATATTAACTAATTATACATTCAAGCATTTTATTCGATTATAAAATCCAAATACATATCATATGTATGTGCATGAATTTAAGTAGCGAATTATGTTATGCGCAAACAGTAATTGAT